ACGGCCCCGAGGGGGGTAAGACTCCACCCTTGGAGTAACGCCTTCAAAATTAACGATGTCAGGCGCTCAGTCGTTAGGGGTACAGCCCCGAGGGGTGTAAGATTCTGCCCTTGGAGCAATGCCTTCAAAATTAACGGGCCAGGTGCTCGGTCATCATATACTCGGTCCCGAGGGGTTTAGGACCCAGAAGCAAGTTCAACACGAGTTTGCTCATTTTTCATTTATTAAGAATTTCTTTTTCCTTATGGATTGATCCTTTAGCAGTCGAAAAAAGGAAGATAGAACACGTGCTGGGAAAAAGAAGTTTCATTACATTCAAAAAAGGGGTTTTGCGTCCCCGGGGTGTACAAAGAAGGTAAACAAATAAATTACAGAACCCAAGTCAAAAGCACAGGACATAGAAGTTACACAATCCTCGAGCAACTAAGAACTCTCGGCTCCTTCGTCCCCGACATCTCCCCTACCGAGGTCACCATGCCGCCTTTGTAACTCCCCTCTAACCCCCAATATCTCGTCAAGTTCAGTATCATATCCTCTAGTGATGATGGGGGCAGAGGAGGAGGAAGGTTATCTCCTTGTTCGGCGGGTGAAAGGGACGAAAGAGTAGAAGAAGGCAGGTCGAACCGTCACTAAGGGTGATGGGTTCATTCTCACCCTTGGCCCCAGCCGCCTCTTCAACCTAAACTTGCTCGCTTGGATCGGCTTGTACTTGCCCCTCAAAAACCTCGTAATCGACCTCCCTTCGGAGGCTATCCATGGCAAACAAGTCCGAGCCTACCACAACGTGGCAGGCGTGAAGGGCAGCATCCCAACCTTCTTTGAAAGCTTTTTTCTTGGCTTTCTCGAAGGCGAGAACCATCTAGTCTTGGGTGGCCAACCACACCTTTTGGTACTCCGACTCCAGTCTTTCCTGCTCCCCCGTCTTCTCTGCTGTTAGAGAGTCCACTTTGGCAGTTAGATCATTGATGACGGACTCAGAGTCCTATAGCTTGACCTCAGCGGAAGAGACTCAGAGCTCATACTCTTCGACCTTTTTGACTGCCGCAGCCTCACCCGCCTTCGCCTTTTCTAGCTCAGCATCAAGGGCGTCGCGTTGACGGATGAGCTCGGCGATGTGCCGAGTCTGTTCATCGAGGGTCTTCTCCACCACGAGAATGTGTTCATCTTTGGCAGTCACAGCTCACTCGGCGTTCCTCATCGCCTGCTTGTACTCCCAAAGACGCTCGATGATGGCCCCCACCTGTTGGATGGCCTAAAAAGATAAAGGACTTGAGTCAGAAATGGCCAAGTATACGGTAAGGAATACTTGAAAAATCATCCCACTTACCACCAGGTTACTTTGGATGGTGCTCATTAAGAACCGGTTGTCTATATAGCCTTTGTACACGATCATATCAGCTTCGAATTGAAAAGTCCCCGCGACAGCAAGTGCCACGCCGGGGTACTGGAGGATAGAGTCTGCCTCCAAGATAGGGCGGCCCCACCTGGTTTTCGCTCGGGGGGCCCATTCGGCGAAAACGGCAGGGCTTGAGGCATCTTGTCGGCACTTCACTCGGCGCTCTTCTGACTCCTCGGACTCCAGGGCACGCTGGTCCCTCTGTTGATCTCTAGAGGGGGGACTTGGTGAGATGGGGCCCTTTGCCTTGGCAGGCACGACCGGGTCCCTGGATGGCTGAGGACGCGGTGGCGACAGAGGTGGTTGTCGTCAAGAGAATGATGGGGGTCATGTTGGAAGACCCAGCCAGCCCGACGAGCCTGGCTCTCCTAGCTGCTGTCACAGCCTCCATTGTTGCGACAATGATTGGTGGGTTTAACATTTCTTCAGAAGGGGCAGAGGGCTCGGCAGAAGTGCGCCCAGACTCTTGTTCTGAATCTTCCTCTTCCGATGAAGAGTGGTCTTCCCAAAGAGAGGGGTTGAATGGCGGGGAGATCTGGGAGAATCTGTTGTACATCGGCACGTAGCCGAGCAGTGTATGTGTCGCGCGCTTGACAAGGTCATGGGACCAAACTCTCAAAAGGTCCGCAAACCTGACTTGAGACCTTAGGAGTTGATTTGCGTCCCGACGATATCCTTTTACAAAAACAAGTGGCCAAGGTGAGTACCAATAATGGCAAGGGATTAAACAAGTCCAGAAAAGGGCAAAACACACCTTTATCTCTCAGCACTTTGGGGCAGTACAATCCGACATACTCGGACCCCTTGTCATTTCTCCTAACTGCCACTGAGCATGATCAGATCATCTACATACCCCTTGTCCAAGTCGGACATGTAGGTTACTAGATACATTGAGGTATCCCGGGCTTGGAGGTAATATCCCCTTCCCCCGCGACAACTAGCCTTAGGTTATAGCAGAATAAAATTTTGTCTATCCCTAAGTTTGTCCCTAGCCAAGCATTCAAGGCGACTACGCCTATCACAATCCTAAAGAAATTAACCCCGCATTGAAAGGGAAGAGTTTTAGTTGCATCAACATCTTCAACAACAAGGGGTAAAGAGGGAAGGTTAACCCCCCCTACATTATGACCTTGGTCCAGAAAGGCATAATGTCTACGCTTCCCATGTCCCTTCTATGGTGGGTAAGGTTGAAAGGGAAGGTGAATACGGGCTTAGGGATGTTGTATTTAACCCAAAAGGCACGGATGTTTTCATCAGTCACTTGAGTTCTCCTCAGTTTGGGATTTGACCTAACCCTAACTGGTACCTCCCACCTAGCTCTACTGGTTCTAGCCATTTATGGGTTCTAAAACGAAGAAATGTGGAAGAAATGAGAAAGAAGCTCGAGAGGAAGTACTTATAGGAAGGTGGTCTTCGAAGAGGGAACTAGGAGGAGAACGGAAGGAACTCGGAGGAGAACAGAGGACTGCTCAGGGACTGATTGTTGAAGGGAAGCTGAGGATGCAAAAGTTCTGAGAAGGCATAAGCACCTCCTATTTATACTATTTTGCAAGGGGCGGGAATCAAAAAGTTGAGCTATCATTATTGGATTTGAACAGGGCAACGCCAGACGTGCAAGTAACCATCGCTATTTAATAAGGTGTGTCTTCTGAGCCTCCAACCTCTTTACGCCACCTGTCCCAAGCCGCAAAAATAATGGAGGCTGGGGGCAGTTGGGGAGACTTTGAGTAGTCCTACGGCCCTCATACTGACACGTGTGAAGATGGATCCATTGCAAATGCCCGATAGGCGCCGAGGAGGTAAGTCAAAAGATAACGGCTCGAAGGAGCCGAGTAGAATAGTTGGCACCGCATTTAATACGACTTGATTACTCATTTATGGCGATATAAGTGATGGTGACCAGGTATTAATGAGCGCTTGCACATTCAGAGTCTGAGCCTATTATCATGATGGTTAGGCATAGATGGCTAGTACGCGTACACGTTCGGCTCCCCCTGAGGAACTATACCCCTGAGTATTCAATGCTCAGCTGCGGGTGTCAGACGCCGATCTGAGGGATGTGGGTACTTGGGGGAAAGCATAAATGCTCGGCATAGAGCCGAGCACTCGTCCTATCATCCTAGCATCGAGTAAGAGAAGACTTGAGTGGCTAACACTAATTGTGCAAGAGGAGGTGTGCCAGACATTAAATGTCCAGATGGGACTTGAGTCCTTGGGCAATCATTGCTAATACAGGTATAAATATCCCTCGTAAAAATAAATAAAGGTACGCATTATTAAATCAAAAAGTATTGGATATTCATTGAGCTTAAACCTCTGACCTTACACTGACTCAAGCTTCGGAGGGGATAAGTCGAGTGTTCACTTGGCCCACTTTTTCTAACCCTGTGGCTGTTGTAGGTTCACCAGACTGAAGGTCGATATTTCAAATTATTGTAGGAATTATCCCGTGCAACAGTTAACACACACAAACTATGAAAAGCAGTACTTAATTTTTCAAGAAGCTAGTGTAATAGTGTGATAGCAAATAGTAAATCCTCAAATACTCTAAAACTTTGAAAATTGGTACTCAGTTCACAAAGTTAGGGTAAAAGTATGACAACAAAGAGCAAATTTACACAAAAAACACCCAAAAATAATAAAAAAATATACTCATTTCATATAGTCACCAAAATAGTGTGATAATAAAGAGTGAATTCGCTCATAAATATAAAATCTTCAAATTGCTACTCATTACATATAGTTTATAAATAGTATGTCAACAAAAACGAATTTAGACATTATCCCAAATTTTGAAAATTTATCCAAACTGAATTTTTAAATTTGCTATAGAGTGACTTCATAGTGTGACACTATACATAAATTTAATGTAAATGATAAAAATTGATAGAATAAAATTACAATTTTAACATACATTTGATTTATCTTAAAAGATTATTACATAATTTCCAATACAAATAGGGTTTATGTAATATAATTTTTTTAATTTTTTTTTGGGGGAAAGAAAGAAGACGTGAACCTTTGACTTTAAAAAAGCAGATTGTTCACAATGCAAGAAATATCATTGAACCAAAAGCTCATTGGTATGTATTATAAGTTTTAAGGGTTTTAAGTAAAATAAATAAATAACAAACAAAATCCTTACCGCCAATTGTCGATGCTAACAAAGTGAAGTTGAATTTCTTTACTTTTTAAAGAAAGAAACAACGTTCGCTGATCCTGAATAGAAATACTAAATCGTTGTATCAGAGCAATTATTTTATTTTACACAAACTGTTGAAATTATCCTCAATATAGGACTCTGTAATTTCTGTAACAATGTAACCTATTTTTTTTAATTAAAAAAAAGGAGTCAAGAACTCCATTGTAAATCAGAAGTAAGATCAATAATCCCACTTTTAAAAAATATCGCAGTCTAATTTCAAAAATATTGTGTATAGATAAATAAGTTTAGAAAACAATTCTATTGCGGTAAATAACTCAAACAAGAAGACCACTAATGTAAGCTACATGGCATAAAATACTTACTTTTCAAAAGTAAGTCAAAGTGAAGACCAAAAATCTAGAACCTCACATAGGACCCACCCCAAGAACATTTCACTTCTCATCGACCCGTAGGATTCATGATCTTTGATAACAGAGTCCTATTTTTTAATTTGTCACTGTTGGCCGTTGATCTTAACACGTTCTCATCATCGTTGGTCGTTGATTCTCCATGCAGAGGAGGAATAGAGAGACTGGCCAACTCTGCCGGCAGTAACCCACCTCCACCACCACCACACTGATCCCTCATCTCAGCCTCCTCTTGAAGTTGCAAAGCAAACTCAAGGCCCCACAAAACATTATTTATTCCTGATCGTTTGAACCCATTTTTACGCAAGTAACTATAACCTAATTCGCCAAACTTCTTTAAGCACTCTGGCGCAATCTCCTCCCTTATATTAGGATCAACAATCTGATCAAGGGTCCCATTTTTATAACAATGGCGAGCCCACTTAACCAAATTCACTTGTTCCTCGGGTAAATCTAGAATTATAGCCGGCCTAGCACATAAAACCTCAAATAAAACCATCCCAAATGAGTACACGTCCGATTTCTCTGTCAATTGTTGTCGTTTATAATATTCTGGATCAAAGTATCCAAAACTACCCTTCACCATTGTGCTGACGTGATTATGGCCCGCATCTATGAGACCTAGTTTGAATAACCCAAAATCAGAAATCTTAACCACCTATTTCTCGTCCAATAAAATATTGGTGGACTTCACATCACGATGAATGATTGTGCGTTTCGCACCTGTATTGAGATAATGCAATCCCTTTGTTGTACCAATACAAATCTTAAGGCGTTGCTTCCACGGAAGAGGTGGTTTCTTTGATTTGTAAAGATGATCACAGAGGGTCCCGTGGGCCATATAATCATACACCAAGATCATCTCGCGGTTGTCATTACAGTAACCGATCAACAACACGAGATGGAGGTGTCTTAGCTTCGATAGCAACTCGATCTCTGTTTGGAACTCGCGGACCCCCTGATTGGATGATGGGTTCAAGTGCTTGATCACAACTGTGGTTGCACTGTTGTCCATGTGGCCCTTATACACATTACCAAATCCTCCTGCCCCAATGACAAAATTGTCATCGAAGTTGCATGTGGCTGATTTCATCACCTCCAGTGAAAAGCGTCTGCATTGATCGAATGATAGTGATAAACTGCTGGATAAGGGGATCCGCGACGACTTGGGCTGTTTTGAAGCTAAGTCTTTCACTCCTCTCCGTCACCGAAAAAACCAAGAAACCAAAGATCAAGACTAGAACAAACCCTCCGAATACGCTGCCAATAATGGCCGAAAAACTAGGTGTTTTATTATTGTGCTTCTTCGGCTGTGAACTGAGTACAAGTTCAGGGTTTGCCTCGGTGAGACTATCGTCTGTTCCACTCAATTTGAAGATTTCTAAACCATTCAATATAGCATCAACGTACTAAGGTCTAAAGTGGAGGTCAGGGTACATAGCGAGCCTCAAGTCTTGCTTGTTCCGACGACCATCTGGGTCGGTGACCATTATGATGTAGTCTTTGAACACAGGAATCCAGTGCCACCACTCCACAGGATAACATCTGCTCCTCTCTATGTTGTTTGATTGTTGATGTATATTATAAAAACCCTTTGGTTCTTGAGGGTCACATCCTTTTGAATCTCTCAGAAATGGAGTCTGAGAAGATAATAAAACCCAGAATCAACAAGAAATCTCCATGTCAGATTGTATTTTAGACTTTGGTTGCCCATGGTCCTTGAGGATGTGCAAACGATCTTCGGTGCAGTGTAAGGTGGTGTCTCCTGTGTGTATCGGATTGCGACATCACTGTAAGGTGTAAATCCATAAGCTGCGTAGGTGTAATTGTCATCCGGACGCCATAAACGAAACATTCTGGTATCATTGGTTACTGAGACGTCATTACCGCCAACATTTAATCAATAGAGAGTCTCAAGAACAGAGCTGTTATCAATGAAAAAAATTTTGGTTCTGGCTCACTAGTGGGATTTGATGATCACTGCCGCCGCGAATGTAGAGATTTTTCGGCATTGAAACGACTTCAATGCCATTAACGAAGGCGTAAGAGTTCGGAGACGGCAAAAAGGTTATGTTCAGTCTCTGGTTGTCCCTAACGTTGAAGATGAATTCCTTTCTAAGGGTAGCAACTGCGGGTTTCATGGCAGAGACAGTGAGGAAGGCACTAAAGTTGCTTAAGAGGGTGTGGCCGCTGGAGGTGACAGAGAAGAAAGAGTTGGCTATGTCCAGGTCAGAGTAATTAGCTGGGAAGAAATAGAGACGAAGGAATTTTGGTCCAATGGAGACTGGGAAGGTGTAGGTGAATTGAGAGCGAAAGATACGAGCAAACATGTAGGGGACTAGATTGACAGGAAGGTTTTGCCCGGATGCTGTAGATTTAGAAGATGTGTTTGAAATGTTTGAGGGTGAGTGTGCGGGCTTGATCCTGCACGATATATAAAATATTGGGAACAGATCTCTTCCCTGGTGAACTTTGGGTGAGCCGATTGAGTGGCCAAACACACTGCTCGAAACAGCTTACGATCCTGGGAAAAGAGGAATGATCCTGTACGTGCGAAAGGTATTTCCTGGACAAAAGAGAACAAGTTAGAAGGGCGCCGGAGTGTTTTCCGGCGTATCCCCTCCGACGGTCTAGTCAGTCTTTGAATGAGAGAGAGGAAGGAGAAAACACTGAAGGATATTTCGTAGTAGAGAGTTTTTGATTGCATACCCGCTTTGTCTTTTGGGAGGGGTATTTATACCTTAGAAGATCATGATTGCTGTCAGTGTGGTCAGTAGGTGATCATCAGGCACAGGTAGCGTGTGTAATCATTTGATGAGAAATGTCTTCTCTAATTGACTGCTCGGGGTCCCGAGCAATCAATGGTGAGTTGTCGGGACGCCGACGGTACAATATGCTCCTTTCGGGAAGGATGCAATAAATGCCCTGTAATAGGAGCATTTATTGCCTTTCATATCCGAACCTTACCGCATTAAATGCTGTCTCGTCAACAGAAGGGTGTAATTAATTGTTTGCTTTCCAAAGTCGCGTGCCAGCAGCGGTATGCGGTTTGTCTGCTTCGGATGTGACATTATTTGCCACGCGCCCATCCCTTATTGGCTGTTACGTCGGTATTCCAGCACGTTCTGACATTACTTGTGTAAGAAGAGGTCATGATGAATAATCCATACTGGCATAGGCTGATGTCCAGTTTGTCAGTAGCTTTATCCGGGAGTAGAGGAAGCGTCCAGGATGGAGTGACCCTCGGCGCCGAGGAAAGGCTCACCTCGGGGGACCATGGGGTGGTGTGTTCCCGAGGTACATGGCGACCGAGGACACATGTCATTGTATAATGTACCGAATATGTGATCCTATATGAGTGGTACCTCGGGGGAGAGGACGCTTTTGTCGATGGTGCTTGAACCCGAGCAACATTGTTCTAGAAACCCCCGAGGACACGTGTCTTCATCATAGGCTTTTTCAGAAGAGTCCCATCAACTGCCCCCCAGCCTTCGATCTTCTGACGCCGAGGACACGCGTTGTCAGGAGACGAAGGGTTTTTCCAACTGCTATCCGTCCTTCATTATGGCCTCGAGCAGCTTTCCCCGTCTTGGGATGTCGTGCGCATTAAATGCGCCGTTTTGGTTCTCCCGCCCAATGATGACAGTTTCCCCCCTATATAAAGGGGGTTCTTCTCCGGTTTCCATTGTTTTGCCATTCCGATCTCTGACCCAGAATACGCCTTTTCTGATCTGCTTCGCCGGAGTTTCTGTTTCCTCAGCCATCATCGACAGCATCTTCTCTTAAAATCAGTCAGTAAACCCATTGTTGACTCCTGGTCCTTCCGGTGCGAGTCGTTTTCAAAGTTTTTCCTGAAAAACTCCGTTTCCGACGTCTTCTGGTGAGTTTCACAACCTTCTTCTTTATCGTCCTCCTGGCCTTCTTGTTTTCCGATTTGAACGGTGGTGTCATCCGGTCGGTACGTCTTGATTTAAACCCTCGGGGAACTTCCTCAGGTTTTCAAGAGAGAACACCTTTTCCTCCCCTTTCTTTTTAGAGATGCCTCGTCGTCGCCCTGTTCCCGAGAATCCATCGGCTGGTCCCTCGGGGTCAGGGAAATACAAGGTGACAGGCGAGGCGCAGATCGATAGGTTCAGGGCGAAGTATGGCATCCCCCCGAGCGTGGACGTAGTGGGTTTTAACCCCTTGTTGAACTCTCCTACCTTCGGGGCCGCGGATGCCATGCCTTTCTATACCAAGGCCATCATAGAGGGTGGCATTAGGTTTCCTTTACCCCCCCTGCTTCTTCAGTTCCTGTCTCGCTTCCGTCTCTTCCCCGGGCAATGCTGCCTCAACGTCTTTCGGATAATTATGGGGGTCCTAGAGCTCAATAGGCGCCTCGGGGTGAATATTGGGCTCAACGATCTCCTTTTCTGTTACTCCCTCCTAAGAGTCATGCCCCACCAACATTTCTACCTCAAAGCCAGGGACCCCTCTATGTACCTTGTAACCCATCTTCCTGACTCGGACAAGGGGTACAAGGACGACATCTTGATCTTCAAGGGATGTTGGGAGAGGGGTGTCGGTCCCGAGTACAATGACCTATTTTGCCCTCGGGAATGGAGAACGACAAGTACGTCGGTTCCTTTGGGTCTTTTTATTTGTTTCTTGGGACTTCTCATGTTTATGACAATCTTTTTTGTTGTGCAGGTATTCCTTCTCGGGAAACAGCTCCACCCCCTCGGTCGCTGGTCAATTTTGCCGACTTAATAACGGTTTGGAGTTTCACGGGCGCCGACGGATTTGGCCGAGCTGCCCATAATTTGCTGCACTATACCCCCGGGTATAAGAAGTTCTCACAGCTCCCTCAACCTTTCGAGCCTTCACAGTGGTCAGAGCTCTTTGATCAGGCGGCGAGGTTAGAAGTCGAGCAGAACTTGGAGGAAGACCCGGATCGGGCTTCAGAGGGAGAGGTAGAAGGAGTTGCTGAGGTCGGGGCCAGAGAGGACGTTGCTCCTTCGGACGCCGAGGTGGGGACTTCGGGAGCGACCTGTGGCCGGATTTTCAAATTCTCCAAACTTTGGACGCCGAAGACGCTCTCGAGGAAGCGATGTCCAACACCCCACGCATCAATTTGGGGTTTCTTAGGCAGAGGCAATCCCTCGCAGCCGGGAGAGGCCGAGGGGCGACCGGCGGTACTCCGGCAGGAACCAGTTCCGCCAATTCTTCGAGGGCTCCCGGTCAGGGTCAGGTGCGAGACCGGGATCCTCAGGTGGAAGAAGAGAGGAGGGTAAAGCATCGGCATGACGGCCTCAGCCGAGGACCCAGGGCATCTCCCGCTCAACCTCAAAGCGGGAGGGATCGTGGGTTACCGCCTGCTCCCCCACAACAGCAACAACACAGCAGCCCCGACAACAGCTACAGCTGCAGCAGCAACAACAGCAACAGCAACAGCAGACCCCCCCTCCCGTTCCGCCTCGGGGGGAGGCCGCAGAGTGGAATCCTCGAGCCACTGATCACATGAACAGAGTGATCAGGGTCGATGATTCTATTCTGTCGGATCCTCATGTCGCTAATGCAGTGAGTGAGACACTGCATTTCGAGGCCGACATGGAGGCTCATAGGGGGCGATCAACCAACGTGTTGTTCCGCTCCATGATCCAGAATTCCTGGTGGTGAGTTTTTTCCTGTTTTGATCTCTTCACTCTCGTTTTCTATTTTTGTGTTTTTAACACTCTTTTCCTTCCTTTACAGGCTACCCGCAGATTTTCTACTTCATCATTGCTGGCCGGTACTACGCGTCCAGGATGGATCTTCAGAGGGCCAAGGATCAGAAGGCAGAAGCGGAAGCTGCCCTTGCTCGGGCAACGGAAGATGTTGCTGCCAGGGATTCCACCCTGGTGGGGCAGGCTGCCCAGATAGAGCAACTCCTCAAGGACGCTGAATCGGCCAAGTCGGGCGCTGAGAAGCTAAGTGCCGCACTTGCCGATGCTGAGAGGAGGATTACTGAGCAAACGCAGCGGCTCTCTGCGGCGGAGGAGAGGGCAGTGGGCTCCGAGGAAAGCTGCCTGGCCCTTACCCAGGAGCTAGATAGGATCAGAGCCGAGGAGCTGACCCGGAAGTCGGAGCAACAACTTCTGGAGGAGTTTGCCGATGACGTGCTCCCCGCCCTTGAAGAAAACAGCAAAGAGTTCTTCAAGAAAGGGTGGGACGAGGCGCTCCAGGCTGCTGGAGTCCCGTCAGACTCCCCTCTCTTCCAAGTGCACAAGTATGTGCCCTCGGCAGAGATGGAGCAGGCAGAAGCACAGGTTGCTGCCGAGGATGAAGCCCCTACACCGATGCAAACCTCGGCTGATGCTCCCGAGACGGTGATAGTGGACTTGTCCGAGGACGCTCCGTCCGACCTTGCCCCTGAACCTCAAGCTGCTCAATGTTCCAGCTGTTCCTGCTGCCGAAGTTCTTCTCCTGCCCGCTCCAGAAGCTTCCAACCTTTTATGCTGATTCGCCCTCGGCCGAAGTTCTGGAGGTGCCTGGAGCCCGATGAAGCTGCTTTTCATTTCCCCTTTTTTGTACCCCTTTTGCTTTCCTTTTGTAGCTTTTGGGGACGCAAAGCCCCTATTTCTTTTGGAAATAAATAACTAGTCTTTTTATTTTTCTGTCTTCTTCTGTATACAGTAGTGTTTTGCTTTTCTTTACTTCTGTGTAGAATAAATCATAAGTGTCTTTGAACTGTCTTCGGGGCGTGCTGGCCCGTTCCGGAGGCGAGATCTTGTATCTACTCTGGGGACTTGGGGTGCTTTGTGTTTCGCTCCCAGGACCATTTTTTATGGATGCTCGTTTGCATTCACTTTGGGGACAAAGTCCTTGAACTCTGTCCCCAGGGCCGCATCCTTGCAGGAGGCTTGCTCCTGTATGTACTTCGGGGACGAGAGTCCTTGAACTCTGTCCCCAGGGCCATACCCTTGCAGGAGGCTTGCTCCTGTATGTACTTCGGGGACGAGAGTCCTTGAACTCTGTCCCCAGGGCCATACCCTTGCAGGAGGCTTGCTCCTGTATGTACTTCGGGGACGAGAGTCCTTGAACTCTGTCCCCAGGGCCATACCCTTGCAGGAGGCTTGCTCCTGTATGTACTTCGGGGACGAGAGTCCTTGAACTCTGTCCCCAGGGCCATACCCTTGCAGGAGGCTTGCTCCTGTATGTACTTCGGGGACGAGAGTCTTTGAACTCTGTCCCCAGGGCCATACCCTTTGTCTTTTTTTTGGCGAGTTCTTTTTGAGAGAGTACTTCAAAAGTAATACTTCTTCAATTCATAACATTCCATGGTCGTATTACAGGTCTTCCACTCATATCT